CAGATGTACGTGTGCTATCTGGGTAATGTGTACACAAGTGTAGTATTTATGAGTGAGTCATTGAATCATTCTTTCAATCCGATAAAAAATAATAATAATTCAATTCAAATTAAACATTTTAAATAGACTGCAGCAATTAACATTATGTCAGAAGCTATAGTAAATGATGTGATTTTGTTCAGTCGTCTGTTCAGAATCGCGTGAGAATCGAAATCATAAAAAAAAAAAAAAAAAAAAAAAAAGCGTGATTATCAACTCATCAAGAATCATACAGCTCTATAGATTGAATCTGTAATCGCTTGGACAGCCCTATAAATATTCACTTTGCATCTCTTTGGAATTTAGCGTGACGAATATGGCAGCAGACTTCTGGGATCATTAGTAATCAACAGGAAGCCACGTCTAGTGTTCAAATCATCTCTCTCCGGCTGAAATGAAAGATTTCTGTGACCCAGAGTGGCCCTCCGCTGCTCGTTACAAGGCCGAAGAATATTGAGAAAGGCAGCTTCAGGCTCCCGCTGACTTTATATCATTTTTACAGCAGGAAAATTAATTAAAACATCCAGGGACGGAGAAAGACTGCCAGTAACACCATAAGATAGCGAGAGACTGTCTGTCCAGAAACACCTGCGGGGAGAAAGAGCTTACGCGATATGACCAAGCAAATTCAAAATCACAGCAGGTACATCTAATTGATTTAATCTGCATGTATATTAATGTGTTTTGAGTTTGGACTTGAATAAGTAATTTACATTTAATATAGGCTAATCAAGTTATTGACAAAAAGTCTCACTAGATTTATCTTCAGTAAATCTTTATTTGACCTGGTCAATTTATTAAGACTAAGATTAAGTTTAATTAAATTATTTGAAAATGATTTATCATAGTGGTTGGGCCTGTGCAGTTCGTGGTTATTATAATAATAATTTCAGTGTTGATATACAGACGATGTATTGTCACTAGATGGCAGTATTTCTTAGGACATGCCAGTGTGCCCTGTTTATGTTGAATTTATTCATTCATCTATTTATTGTTGATCAATATAATGCATAATGCTGTGTCTTCAGTCTGGATGCTAAGCAGCTGAAGACTGACGAGTCTGTCCACGGTAGCCGAATGGATTTCAGTGTGCAAATGGATTTTATAATGCCTATAAAATCAGGGCTATTCTGCAAGCAAATGAGCTGTAAAGTTGATCAACTTGATCACAAAATGAGATGAGACTTTCATTATCATAGTTTCACCATAAATCTAAAGTTTACCATCTTATGTCCTTAATTTAAATAGCAGCACTGTATAATGCTTAATTACATTCTGAAATAGTGGTTAATATACACTCACCGGCCACTTTATTAGGTACCCCATGCTAGTAACGGGTTGGACCCCCTTTTGCCTTCAGAACTGCCTCAATTCTTCGTGGCATAGATTCAACAAGGTGCTGGAAGCATTCCTCAGGGAGTTTGGTCCATATTGACATGATGGCATCACACAGTTGCCGCAGATTTGTCGGCTGCACATCCATGATGCGAATCTCCCGTTCCACCACATCCCAAAGATGCTCTATTGGGTTGAGATCTGGTGACTGTGGAGGCCATTTTAGTACAGTGAACTCATTGTCATGTTCAAGAAAATGTAGAGCTTTCTCACATGGTGGAAGTAACCATCAGAGGATGGGTACATGGTGGCCATAAAGGGATGGACATGGTCAGAAACAATGCTCAGGTAGGCCGTGGCATTTAAACGATGCCCAATTGGCACTAAGGGGCCTAAAGTGTGCCAGGAAAACATCCCCCACACCATTACACCACCACCACCAGCCTGCACAGTGGTAACAAGGCATGATGGTTCCATGTTCTCATTCTGTTTACGCCAAATTCTGACTCTAACATCTGAATGTCTCAACAGAAATCGAGACTCATCAGACCAGGCAACATTTTTCCAGTCTTCAACTGTTCAATTTTGGTGAGCTCTTGCAAATTGTAGCCTCTTTTTCCTATTTGTAGTGGAGATGAGTGGTACCCGGTGGAGTCTTCTGCTGTTGTAGCCCATCCGCCTCAAGGTTGTGCGTGTTGCGGCTTCACAAATGCTTTGCTGCATACCTCGGTTGTAACGAGTGGTTATTTCAGTCACTGTTGCCCTTCTATCAGCTCGAACCAGTCTGGCCATTCTCCTCTGACCTCTGGCATCAACAAGGCATTTCCGCCCACAGAACTGCCGCTCACTGGATGTTTTTTCTTTTTCGGACCATTCTCTGTAAACCCTAGAGATGGTTGTGCGTGAAAATCCCAGTAGATTAGCAGTTTCTGAAATACTCAGACCAGCCCTTCTGGCACCAACAATCATGCCACGTTCAAAGTCACTCAAATCACCTTTCTTCCCCATACTGATGCTCGGTTTGAACTGCAGGAGATTGTCTTGACCATGTCTACATGCCTAAATGCACTGAGTTGCCGCCATGTGATTGGCTGCTTAGAAATTAAGTGTTAACGAGCAGTTGGACAGGTGTACCTAATAAAGTGGCCGGTGAGTGTACATTCAAATAAGCACGTTCTGAAGATTCATATTCATGATTCATATTCGGTTCATGTTCATATTCATAGATTTCATATAAGAATATATTTCAGTGCACTTAAACCACTATTTTGAGGTCAGTTATTAAGTTATTAAAATGTTGATGTCTGGTTTACAAACTAAATGCATCTATAAATACTACTGACCACAACAAGAAATACTTTTTTTTCTGTTTTGGTTCTTTTGTGATATTTCCTGATTTATGATGCAGGACCTTTGATGACTCAAATCGAATCTTTGTATAGATTATTTTTCATCTGTTAATGACAGTTCAAATGCCTCTGCAGAATCATAATAATAATAAAAACAAATCTTGTTTCTCCTTCAGCCCATCACTGTAGCAAGTGCAGTTTGAACAAAATCCACAAAAAAAAAGGTATCAGTCCTGTCAAATCTCTTCTTTTTTTTTCATTTCGAATTAAATTGAAAACTTGTGAAGAATCCAACCGAATATTTTTCAGTCAGGCGCTGTGGAACCGAATATTTTTCAGTCAGGCGCTGTCGAATCGAATATTTTCCAGTCAGGCACTGAGGAATCAAATATTTTTCAGTCAGGTGCTGTCGAATGGAATATTTTTCAGTCAGACACTGAGGAATCAAATATTTTCCAGTCAGGCACTGAGGAATCAAATATTTTTCAGTCAGGCGCTGTCGAATCGAATATTTTCCAGTCAGGCACTGAGGAATCAAATATTTTTCAGTCAGGCGCTGTCGAACCGAATATTTTTAGTCAGGCGCTGTCGAACCGAATATTTTTCAGTCAGACGCTGTCGAACCGAATATTTTTAGTCAGGCGCTGTCGAATGGAATATTTTCAGTCAGGCGCTGTCGAATGGAATATTTTTCAGTCAGGCGCTGTCGAACCGAATATTTTTCAGTCAGACGCTGTCGAACCGAATATTTTTAGTCAGGCACTGTCGAACGGAATATTTTTCAGTCAGACGCTGTCGAATTGAATATTTTTCAGTCAGGCACTGTGGAACCGAATATTTTTCAGTCAGGTGCTGTGGAACCGAATATTTTCAGTCAGGCGCTGTCGAACCGAATATTTTTAGTCAGGTGCTGTGGAATGGAATATTTTTCAGTCAGGCGCAGTGGAACCGAATATTTTTCAGTCAGGCACTGTGGAATCAAATATTTTTCAGTCAGGCGCTGTCGAACCGAATATTTTCAGTCAGGCGCTGTCGAACCGAATATTTTTAGTCAGGTGCTGTCGAATGGAATATTTTTCAGTCAGGTGCTGTCGAATGGAATATTTTTCAGTCAGGCACTGAGGAATCAAATATTTTTCAGTCAGGCACTGAGGAATCAAATATTTTTCAGTCAGGCGCTGTCGAATGGAATATTTTTCAGTCAGGCACTGAGGAATCAAATATTTTTCAGTCAGACGCTGTCGAGAACCGAATATTTTTAGTCAGGCGCTGTCGAACCGAATATTTTTCAGTCAGACGCTGTTGAACCGAATATTTTTAGTCAGCCGCTGTCGAACTGAATATTTTTCAGTCAGACGCTGTCGAACCGAATATTTTTAGTCAGGCGCTGTCGAATGGAATATTTTTCAGTCAGGGGCTGTCGAATCGAATATTTTTCAGTCAGGCGCTGTCGAATGGAATATTTTTCAGTCAGGGGCTGTCGAATCAAATATTTTTCAGTCAGGCGCTGTTGAACCGAATATTTTTCAGTCAGACACTGTCGAACCGAATATTTTTAGTCAGGCGCTGTCGAACCGAATATTTTTCAGTCAGACGCTGTCGAACCGAATATTTTTAGTCAGGCGCTGTCGAATGGGATATATTTTTCAGTCAGGTGCTGTCGAATGGAATATTTTTCAGGCAGGCGCTGTTCAATTGAATATTTTTCAGTCAGGCGCTGTCGAATTAAATTTTTTTCAGTTTGCCACTGTCGAATCGAATATTTTTCAGTCAGGGACTGTCGAATTGAATATTTTTCAGTCAGGCGCTGTCGAATTGAATATTTTTCAGTCAGGCGCTGTCGAATGGAATATTTTTCAGTCAGGCGCTGTTCAATTGAATATTTTTAAGTCAGGCGCTGTTCAATTGAATATTTTTCAGTCAGGCGCTGTGGAATCGAATATTTTTCAGTCAGGCACTAATGACTTCATAATATCCTAACTTGAGCACTTGCGCGAAGGATAGTCATGGTAGGCTACTATTTCGAGAAAATGTTAGACTAATTTCTTATTACCTTGAAAGAACAGGTTGAAAAAACCAACGCAGTGAGTTTTGCCCTCGGCATATGGTTGTGCATTGTTGTTGTTCCTTTTAACCCTCATTTGTCTTTTTGTAATTGGATAGGATGGTCGGTCCTATCTCCTTTAGCCCTCCCTCTCTCCCTCTCTCCCTCTCCCCCTCTCTCTCTCTCCCTCTCCCCCTCTCTCTCTCTCTCTCTCTCTCTCTCTCTCTCTCTGACATCGGGGTTTTCTCTCATACAGTAAGCGCCTGGCACTGACAATGTGGACATCAGCGGGGAATATATAGTGTTATCATCCGAATTCGCGTCGTGTTCACAGCGCATTCAACTTCATTATTACCAGGTAAGACGGAATCATTATGTCAGACATCTTTTTATGTATCCATATGGTGTCTGTATAGCTCTCGGTAAATGCATCCCGATGTAAATCTGATCGGGACAGAAGTGAGAGATGGTTCGGACTCGCGCAGTTATCCCGTAGGAAACCGCTGCTGTTGTTATGGCAATAAAAGCGGAGCGCGTTTGTTTCAGCAGCACTAGTAATACAAGTTGAACAACTAACCGGTTGGAACGGTGAAGTTTACAGGTTTATGAACGTTGTATTAATTAATTTTAACTCGCAGCTTTCTGGACATAACATTCAAAAGCATAGCGAGCGATATACTGCGTCTGGTATATTGTGTAGAAGATTAGGCGACCCAAGTTGACTTGTGAATTTAGATTAGGCTAGTTAATCTGGTTAAGAAGAGCTAATTCGAGAGAAGAGCTGATTCAAATCTCCTCAACATTTAAAATAAAGGTTCTTCATTCTTTATAAAGGTTCTTTATTGGTTGGTATCAAGCAACGTTTTCGTTTTGGACTTGTTTAGATCATCATATTGGTTCCTTAATGATTTAATACAGGGCTAAAAAGTTCTTTTTATCTTCATATGTGGCACCAGGCTTTGGTTCTACTGGAGCCTTTATAAACGTGTGTGGTGTGGATGAAGTGAGATACTAATGGTTTCCGGATGCCAGGGGTCTGGGTGATCACTCCTTCTGGACATCTGATTTGATTTTAGATGCTGTAATTAATTAGGTTGACCGGGAGCCGAACCCTCGCAATTAGTGCAAATACTAATTAGCTTGGGTCAGTGACTGAATGACTGAGCATCTTTGTAATTGAACTTATCCAGGAGAGTGTATTGAATATTTGTGCTCCAGGAAATGCAGCAATCCTCCAATTTAGACTTGCAAGAAATTTGCATACAGAGTCAAACCTTTTTGTTTTTCCCCTCAATCTAAAGATGAAACTGATTTAATTGATTTTGTGTGTACAGAATACAGTCTCTTTTGTCATTCACGGTTATACTGTAAGAACAACTCAAGCTTTTATACTATCATGCACATATCAGCGCGAGTGATTGAATGACTTAGCATTATTGCTAAGTAATTGAAACCGTGCAGAGAATATATTGTATGTTTGTTTCACAAAATGCTGCTGTTTTCCAACAGGCCTAGATTGAATCTTTGTTTGGATTCAAATTTGTTTTTGCACCGTCATTGTCAAAATCAGAATTGAGTTTTTGTTCACTGTCTGTTTCTATCTATCTATCTATCTATCTATCTATCTATCTATCTATCTATCTATCTATCTATCTATCTATCTATCTATCTATCTATCTATCTATCTATCTATCTATCTATCTATCTATCTGTAGGTCTGTCTGTCTGTCTGTCTATCTGTCTTTCTATCTCTATCTGTCTGTCTGTCTCTCTATCTATCTCTATCTGTCCGTCCGTCTATCGTTCTATAGTTCTATTGTTCCTTCTATCTGTCTGTCCATCCACATTATATAATGTATTTCTAAATATTAAGGCGTTTGTAGAATAATAGAGTTGATTAGTTATTGTAATTGTTCTCCATCGCCTAGAAATTAAGTAAAAGCTTGACTGCACGCACCAGCTGAACTTATGTTGAATAAAAAACCTCATTGTGTTCATGGCATTTTTGCTGCTGAACTGTTTGGCATGTGAGCAGCTAATTCTTGTTCTCTGAATCACTGAATAGAGATCTTTGTTGCCGTTCTTTTGCCTCTCTGTACAAACTAGCTTTGAAGTTAACTTTGGATTTTAATTGGGTGTACTGAGACATGTTCGTAGCTCTGTCCTTATGAAGAACATTACCATCTATCTATCTATCTATCTATCTATCTATCTATCTATCTATCTATCTATCTATCTATCTATCTATCTATCTATCTATCTATCTATCTATCTATCTATCTATCTATCTATCTATCATTGTTTCCACACCAATTTTTGGTTCTTTGTTGGCATTGATGGTTCCATGAAGAACCTTTAACATCCATGGAACCTTTCAATTGCACAAAAGGTTATTTGCAGTTGAAAAAGGTTCTTTAGATTATAATAATGATCTTCACATTAGAAAAAAACATGGTTCTTTTAAGAACTGTTGACTGAAAGGTTCTTTTTTCTAACCAAGAAATGGTTCTTCTATGGCATCGCTTCTATGGCAACCTCGAAATGTCTAGTACAAAATTAGTGGCGGTGATGTAATTGTTGCCATTAAATTTTTGACAAATCTGCACCAAAGCACATTAGTTTTGGCTCTTTGATTAAGTCCCTTGTCAACTCAATACCCCTCAAACTGATATTCCCTCAAAGCGAGTTTATAGGAAAACAAATTGCTTCTCTGGTTGAGGAAATGAGAGGAAAAAAAAAAAAAAAAAAGTGATGAATGACTTAAGAAGGAGAAAAAAAGAGGGTGAAGTGTAAACATCCTTCTAAAAAAAAAACACCACCGAGATTTCTGAGACCTCCTCGTTGAAGTTCACCATGTACGAGGCATCTAACGCACAATGGCATTACGGTCCCGCTTCAATTCGGCATGGCAGACAGGCGATTAACTGCAGTTTAATCTGCGCGAGGCCTTATTCTCCTCAACATTCTGATCTACGACACTATTTTTAGCCCCACAAAACAACCCCGCTTCCCCAACCCCCTAAAAACACTGCAGGCGTCTGTGAGGAATCCAGCATTTAAGATAAGAGCACAGGCTCCGCGTGAGGACGCTAAGTTTATCAGCATGACATGCATGTGATTCATGTAAATTCTCCCTTGTCTTTACTGTTTATTTGTTTCCAGTGAGTTTGAGATGGTTCAGCGTGTGGCGCTTCACGAGGTCCTCGGGCACTTGATCATACATGGATTCTCTGTTTAAAAGAAAAAAGATTTTGGGAAGATATCGACTGCTAGTGCAAGTATATTGGAGTCAACAAACCTGGCTCTTGCCCTGCAATGTGACTTCTGACTGTTAAAACTATTACGACTGGGACTTTTAGTTGAAGGCACAGAATTTTGTCATTATTTGCTCAGCCTCGTGTCGTTTACAAACCCGTACGACTTTCTTTCGTCCGTGGAACATGAAAATAGACATTTTTGCTGCTCTTTTCTATACAGCATAGTAGTCGAGCTCCCAGAAAGATTGTTTATTTCCCAAAACTCCTCATGGAGGAAATTGTTTCTGTTTTCAAGTAATTCAAGTTATTATCAAATCGATGACTATTTCTCTAAACTAACAATTTTACCTAACCAAGCGCTTTACTTTTCTTTTACGTCACTCTTTTATTAAATCGTTCAACTTTGTCATAACTGAAATTAAAATAAATTACTTTATTGTAGTTACTTTAAGTAATAATAAGTCATTTAAAAAGATAAGGGATTTTTTTTAGGCATACTTGACCAAAGAACCACATCAACATCAGTTATCAACCAATATTAGAGATGTTTTAAATATATTTGTTTCAGCCCATATTGCCTATATAATGATCAATATTAGATATTTTATTGTATTTCGGCCTATTTCCTCCTAGTTTTACATTTAAAACACCAATCATTTTACATGTAAATAATTTTTCACTTAATTTGTCATAGTATTAAAATAATAATTGTATTTATATTATGGTTTATATAGATGTCTTATTTACATAATTTCATATATTTTTAGAGAAAATAATGTTGAATTTAATATCAGCCATTTATCGATTATTGGCCATGACATAAAAAGTATAATTGACTTCATGATCAGTATCAGTCAGAATTTTGGGGCATCCATTTTTTTTCCATAGTTATTCATTCATTCATTCATTCATTCATTCATGACAGTCATTATGGACTACATATGGAAAAGAGCTGCATGGACATTCTTCAAAAATTCTCCTTTTGTGTTTTACAGAAAAAATAACAGTATACAGATTTGGAACGAAATTAGGGTGAATAAATAATGACAGAACTCAATTTTTGAGTGATTATCTCTAAGAAAAAACACCTTATTGACAGATTGATAGTGTCATAATGGCTGTCTATCGTATGAGGTAAACAAATTCGATCTTCTGACGAAACTTGCTGTCACAGTGTGTTTAGTGCTGAATCTGATACAATGTTCCACCACACTATGGAACTTCCTCCAGCTAAATTTGTCAACTTACATGAGTATATTTTTCCTGTCTGGTACATTTATAGGTAATGCTATGAATTTTCTTTTTGACAGACAGGATTTTTCATACCGTTTTTTTCTCTTGTTGGTCCATTGGTATCTATTTTTGACAATACAAAGGTTTATTTTATATTTTAGATCTTGCTGTGTGCACATGCACTGTGATTTTTTTATTTTTTTTTAAGTTGTTGGAGCATGTTTTATATATTATTGGGGTAAGAAAATACTTTTTCAGTCATTGTTCTTGCCTCTATTTGTTAAATTTACTAATAATTTCTAAATGAAAATCGTTTAAAAGTAAATCCTACTCCATTTTTTCCTGTGTGGTGTCATTTTAAGCCTGTTAGCCTTCTTTTTGTTCAACTAAAGATTGCGTGATGCCAGCTTACACAAACATATTCTAAGAATGTTTTGCTAGGGTTGCCATTAAATTATGAAAATGTTTTTTTCTGAATGTTCCCCAAATGCTCAAAACGTCCAGTTTGTTTTTGTTTCAATTATTTGTTTATTGGTTAGACTAATGTTAAGGGAATATTCCATTTTATAATTTAGCAAAAATTATGAAAACGTTACTTTTGAATGTTGTCTGACCATTAGTAACATTCAAAAAAGCTAGTGAACAAGGTCCAACTAAAACTTTTTTTTTTTTTTTAAGTTCCATGAACAATGTATAAATAACATTTAGTGCTGTCAAATCGATTAATCGCGATTAATTGTATCTAATATAAAAGTTTGTAAATATAATATATATATATATATATATATATATATATATAATGTATACTGTTAGTGTATGTGTAAAAAAAAAAGATATATATATACTGTAAGTATATATTTACAAACAT